CAATGTGCTTCGTTCTGTGCTCCAGTCGCTGCTCCCGACACAAGGCCAGCATGGCCTTGTTGTCTACGTACAGCACTGGAGGAGAACGAGGCAGCTCTCCGAGGTCAGTCAGCAGGTAGGTGAGCCAGCGAAGCTCCTGTGCAGCCATGGCTCCTGCGTAGATCTCAGCCTCACAACTGGAGCCGAGAACAGAAGACGAGCGGGTAGCCCGCCACGAAACAGAGCCGGAACCAAGGCTGAAGGTGTAACCCTGTGACGACCGCTGCGTAGCCTGGTCGTCAGCCCAAGAAGCGTCTGCGTGCCCAGTAAGGACCACTGGACTCTGCCCTCCAAGCACAAGCCCCATGCCCGACGTACTGCACAAGTAGCGCAACACCCTCTTCGCTGCAGCCATGTGCTCCGGTCTGTGTCTCCCAGGAGCAACATAGCGTGCAAGAATGCTAAGAGGGTATGCAAGGTCAGGTCGTGTGCAGGTCATCAGGTACATGAGGCAGCCAACAAGCTCTGGGTACGGGCCACTCGACTCTACGGACTCATCCGAAGGCAGAGCTGAGAGCGAGTGGCGAGTAGGCAGAGGAGTGGCCTGAGGCGAGGAGTACGTGAAGCCGAAGCGCTGAAGGACCTGCTGCACCATGTGTGACTGGGTCAGGGTAATGGTGCGGCGTGCTCTGTCCCGAGTGATCTGCAAGCCAAGGTAGCTGCGCAGTTCACCTAGGTCAGTGCACGTGTGTCTCTTCTGCAGCTCGGACTTCACGTGGGCTAGTCCAGCAGTGTCAGCTGTGGCAAAGACCAAGTCGTCGACGTACACGAGGATGTAGAACGGCGGCAAAGAAGTGTCGGTGCGCAGAAACAGCGACGGGTCGGCAGTAGAGGGAGCAAACCCAAGAGCCGCAAGTGTAGTCCTCAGTGTGTCGTGCCACTCGCGCGGTGCCTGGCGGAGACCGTAGACTGGCCGCCGTAGGCTCCACTGGGTGCCAGGAGGAAAAGACCCAGTGAAGCCAGGTGGGCGACGCAGCCAGATCTCCTCGTGCAGGCTGCCCTGCAAGAAAGCAGTGCTGAAGTCAAGAGAGTGTAGCTCGTAGTCACGGTGAGCAGCTACGTGCAGCAGTACCCGAAGAGTGGTCATCTTCGGGGTGGGAGAGAAGGTCTGAAAGTAGTCAACTCCCTGCCGCTGACTGAAGCCACGAGCCACGTAACGCGCCTTGAAGACAGGCGGAGAACCCGGCGGTCGCTTCACCCTGAAAATCCACATGCCACTGACAATGTTCGCCCCAGGAGGGGGAACAGCGTCAACGTAGGTGCCTGTGGACTTCCAGGAAGCCATCTCTGCGTCCATAGCTGCCTGCCACTGAGAGGAGTAGGGACCCTCTATCGCCTCCGCGTAAGAGCGCGGAGTCGGGATGTCAAGTGCATCCGGGTCTCCCTCAGGGGTAAGCAGTACGGACACGAGATGAGGTGAAGCAGCGGCCAAGCACTGGAACTCCTCCTGCCTGTCCTCAAGGACGTCCGTGCCAAGGGCACACTCACCCCCGACGGACGGAGGACAGACAGACTCAGACTCAGCAACAAGACTGGCGACGTAGTCTAGGCGACAGCGAGCAGCAAAGTCGACGAGCTCAGCAACTAGGGCAGACGCAGCAGTGGACTCAAAGGAAGGGTCAGTGACAACAGTAGCAAGGAGACGCGTGACAGTAGGACTGGCAGCACGAAGAGAGTCCGACTCCGGGTCGGCAAGAGCAGGAAGAGAAGACTCAGGAGGAGAAGGCAAAGGGGCACGCAGAGGAGCAGTGGACGGACGCAGAGACATCCGGTGCGTGCCAGGGACAGGAGGAGGACGCTGACGCGAACCGCGACCACTAGTGCGAGCAGCACGGACAGGCGACGCAGGGCGAGACGCAGGCTCACGACGCTCAGCAAGACCTCCAGTAGGACCAGTGTAGGGAGACGGAGCAGGCAGTGGGGAGGCCGGCTGTAACTGTAACTGCGACGGGACAGGCTGTGGACACTCTAAGGGAGGAGGAGGACCAGTAGAAGGCGGGAGACCAAGAACCTGCTGAAGGAGCGGAACGAAGTACGGTCGAGGCCGCGCGGCGACTCCAGACACAGGAGGGACAGCACCAGCACCCCCAGTGGCAGCACCAGTAGCAGCTCCAGCTCCAGAACCCCCAGCAGCACCAGTAGTACCCCCAGCAGGACCGCCTCCAGGACCGACAGCAGTAGCCTCCGCGCCAACACCCGCAGCAACTCCAGCTCCAGAAGTACCCGCAGGTCCAGCAGCAACAGTACTCCCAGTACGAGCACCTCCGGGACCCGTGGCACCAGCTCTCTCAGCAGCAACAGAACCTCCAGTACCCGCAGCACCTCCAGCTCCAGCAGCTCGCCTCCAGCGCCGGGCAAACCACTCACGCAGCTCCTGGGGAGAGAGTGGCTCCCGGCGAGAAGGAGCACCCAGAGAACCGCCAGGCACAGCACCACCAGGCGTAGCACCCCCAGGCTCAGCACCTCCAGGCGTAGTACCCCCAGGCTCAGCACCCCCAGACGCAGCACCCCCAGGCTCAGCACCTCCAGGCGTAGCACCCCCAGGCTCAGCACCCCCAGACGCAGCACCCCCAGGCTCAGCACCCCCAGTCGTAGTACCCACACGCTCAGCACCCCCAGGGTCAGCACCCACACGCTCAGCACCCTCAGCAGCACCAGAGTCACCAGCGACCTCGACAGGCTCAACAGCGTCTACCTGGGACACACCTGAAGGGGCAGGACCCTGAGGGGGGAGGGGGTCTACCGGGGGGGGACCTGGTACAAGGAAGAGCGGTGGCGGGGGGAGGGACGGAGTGCGGTAGGGGAAGAGGCGGTAGTAGGGGACCGACTCGTCGAACGTGACGTCCTGGGAGGACAGAACACGGCGAGAGGTGGGGTGGTAGAACTGCCACCCTGGGGCGTCAGGGGGGAAACCCAGGAAGACGCAAGGAGCAGCACGAGGGGACAGATTGTCCGCAGACAAGTCGCGGACAAACGCCCGAGATCCCCAGACACGGAACGCAGACGCATCACCAACCTTCCCCGTCCACAGCAAGGCTGGGGAGGTCTCCGGCATGGAGACCCTGGGCTGAAGGTTGATCTGATGCGCCGCGTACCGAACCGCAAACGGCCACAGAAAATGGGGGGCAGCCGCATGCATCATGGACGTACGGGCGACGTCCATGACCATGCCAATGCGGCGCTCAGCAATCCCATTTTGCTGTGGAGAGTCCGGAAGCGTGAAGGTCTGGCGGATGCCTCGTGCACGACAGTAGGCTCGCAGAAGGCCAGAGGAGAACTCTCCGCCTCTGTCAGAGTGCAGACGCAGAACAGGAAAGTCCGAGCCGAAGCTCCGCCTGAGCTGGAGACGAGCTGCGCGGATCCAGTCGATCAACACCTCAGTGACATCACCCTTGCTGCGCAAGGGGAAGACTGTGGTGTAACGCGAGTAGTCGTCAACCACCAGCAGGAAGTAGCGCTCGTGACCCTGTCCACGGACGCGGGCCGGGCCCCACACGTCCATGTGAAGCGTCTGCAGCGGGGCCTCTGTCGGAGGAAACTGGGAGGAGTGAGGGGTAGCCCGCTGTCGTCCCTCGACACAGGGGACGCAGGTAGGGCCAGGCCCCGGAGGAAGTGGAGGGAGGGACCGGGGAAGACCAGAGACAAGGACACGGGAGGCCATGCTCCGGAGACGAAGCAGGGAGGGGTGACCAAGGCGGTGGTGCCAGAGGAGAGTCTCGTGAGACAGGAGGCGACACGAGCAGGGGGCAGACTCAGGACCAGACCTGGACGCTGCAGCAAACACCTGACCCGACGCTGCTACCTGACCAGACGCAGGGACTGGGGGAGACGCAGTGGTCAGTGTGTACAGGCTCGACCCCGGCCGACGTGTAAACGTGGCCAGGTGTCGGCCTGTCCGAGCGTCCGTGCAGTGGGTCACCCGCTGACTCGCAGGAGTGAACTGGTGAACCCCCGCATCCTGTAGGTCAGCACCACTCACCAAGTTTGTAGAGAACGAGGGGAGGTAAAGACCAGACAGGGTGCCAGAGGGGGCCGCCGGACACGGGAGGACAGTGGAGAAGTGAGCAAGGACAGGACCCCCAGAGGGGTCTGCCAGAGAGACCGCAACTGGCCGGCCAAGCGGCGTGAGTGTGGTGCGGTCTCGAAAGAAGGAGCGAGAAGCCCCCGAGTCAAGGGTGAAGGTGTGGGAGGCCGAAGCCGACGCAGAACCTGAGAGAGCAGACTCACCAGTACCTGAGGGAGCAGACGCACCTAGAGCAGCAGCCTCGCTAGCACCTAGAGCAGCAGCCTCACCAGTACCTAGAGCAGCAGTCTCAATGCCCGGGTCGGGCGGAAAACACCGGTAACAGTCACCCTCATCACTAATAGTCACAGTATACATGGCAGCAAGAATAGCATCAAAGTCAAGGTCAAAGACAGCTACACCCGCCCTAGACAGCTCACCCCAGCGGGGGATCTTAGTGGCCTCAGGGAACTGGTGACGCCAAGCGTCCGTCAGGCGGCCAAAGCAGCGCTGGGTGGAGTGCGCACCCCCGCACTGCTCACCCGCGCGGTCGCCGGTGCGCAGGACGTAGGTGCACGGACCAGTACCCCCACCCCTCTGGCGTGCAGTGTACCACTCACGGAGCTGCTGAGGGGAGGGGACGTCACGAGTGCGCTGCTGCTGCTGCTGCTGCTGCTGCTGCTGGCGCTGACCACCACCGGAGGCGACCCTCTGCGCAGCGCCACCCCGACCAGCTCCACCTCCTCCGCCGCCTCCTCCTCCACCGCCGCCACCTCCGCTCCCTCCGCCACCGCCGCTGCCGCCTGCGCCTCCACTGCCGCCACCTACACCTCCACCCCCGCCACCACCCCCACCGCCACCCCCACCTCCTCCACCGCCTCCACCGCCGCCTCCACCGCCCCCGCTAGCTCCTCCAGCGCCCCTGCCCCCCTTGCCCTTGCCAGGGCGGCGTCTCCCGCTAGGGGTAGACGCTGCCCCAACCGACTCCAAACCAGCAAGGTCGGCCGCAGCAACAGAGGCAACAGAGGGCAAAAGAGGGGAGGGGGAACACCCCTCAAAGATGGGGGTGCGAGGGTCACCACGAGAGGCTCCTACAGCGACTATGCTCTTTTCTGCTGCTAGGAGGGCCTTCTCGAGGAGGTCAACGGTGAGAGTGGTGGGGCAAACCGAGAGGAAGTGGTCCCTGACTACGCGAAGGGAGTCAGGGAGACGGGTGACTATGTAGTAGAGGGTGATGTACATGGGGGGGGGGTTCTTGGCGCAGAACTCAGCAGGAAGCGCAGCGCGGTAGCGAGTGTCACTAGTGCGGAGGTGCGTAATGAGGTCAGCGACTGTGGGAAAGGCAGCAAGGTCAGGGAAGAGGTACGGTAGCATGAGGCGGCTCAGTGCAGCAGTGGCAGGGGAGGAGTAGCGTGCAACTACAGCGTCGTACAAGGTCTGAGCACTCTTGTACTGGCTAAAGTGCGCACGCTCAGAGGTAGGTAGGTGGCGACGCACAGCAAGACGTGCAGCAGCATCGCGCGTGGCCCACTGTGAGCGAACAGTGGCGTCAGCATCAGCAGCGGGGGCAGGAGAGGCACCAGAAGTGAGGTCAAAGAGGGAGAGGCCGTCTGCCCTATCGCACTGTAAGAAAAGCTGCAGGTCATCTATCCAGACTTCAAAGTCAATGGCCCGACCCTCAGCGTCAAAAGCGAGGACACTAGGGGTAGCCATGACAGCAGTAGACTAGCAGTGCAAACAGTAGGGTGAGGGCAGTGCTGTGAGAGAGGCGCTGCTCTTACCGGACAGGGCGGCTCGGGCGGCTCGGCTGCAGGGCGGCTCGGCGACTCGACGGCTGGGCGGCTCGGCTGCTGGGCGGCTCGGCTGCTCGGCTGCTGGGCGGCTCGGCTGCTGGGCGGCTCGGCGGCTGGGCGGCTCGGCTGCTGGGCGGCTCGGCTGCTGGGCGTATCGGCGGCTGGGCGGCTCGGCTGCTGGGCGGCTCGGCTGCTGGGCGGCTCGGCGGCTGGGCGGCTCGGCTGCTGGGCGTATCGGCGGCTGGGCGGCTCGGCTGCTGGGCGGCTCGGCTGCTGGGCGGCTCGGCGGCTGGGCGGCTCGGTGGCTGGGCGGCTCGGCGGCTCAGCGGCTGGGCTGCTCGGTTGCTGGGTGGCTCGGCGGCTGGGCTGCTCGTAGGAGTAGGCGTGGGGGCCGTAGGAGCAGGCGCCGGGGCCGTAGGAGCAGGGGCCGGGGCCGCTAGGGCGGCGGATCGGGGCCGCGAGGGCGGCGGATCGGGGCCGCGAGGGCGGCGGAGTAGGGGCCGCGAGGGCGGCGGAGTAGGGGCCGCGAGGGCGGCGGATCGGGGCCGCGAGGGCGGCGGATCGGGGCCGCGAGGGCGGCGGAGTAGGGGCCGCGAGGGCGGCGGATCGGGGCCGCGAAGGGCGGCGGATCGGGGCCGCGAGGGCGGCGGAGTAGGGGCCGCGAGGGCGGCGGAGTAGGGGCCGCGAAGGGCGGCGGATCGGGGCCGCGAGGGCGGCGGAGCGGGGCCGCGAGGGCGGCGGATCGGGGCCGCGAGGGGCGGCGGAGTAGGGGCCGCGAAGGGAGGCGGCCGGGGCCGCGAGGGTGGGGCCGCGGGGTCGCTAGGGTAGGGCGACAGAGCCGCGAGGGCGGCTCGAAGGGGCCGCGAGGGCGGCGCGAAGGGGGCCGCTAGGGCGGCGCGAGAGAGGGGAGCGCGACTCGGGCAGGGGCTGAGTGCGCTCCGGGCAGGAAAAAAAACGGTGGGCCCTAGGAACAGTTCCCACGAGGGAACCTGCTCGATACCATGAGAAGAAACAAGGAATGAATGAAGTATGAATGAATTGGGTACATGTACTAACCCTAATTGGGTTGTACCCCTTATGGGCTACCCCACTATAGCCTACACAATATGCATGAGCTATAATATTCTGACAGGATTGCACTAAGGTGTCAAACGAGTACAAAATATGAGCGAAGGCATAAGCGAATACTTATAGGCGAAACATGCAAACGATAACGCGGTGCGTGCGAGCTAGCTAGTGCTACGCTGGGTCGAGGTTCGGGCTAGTCCCAAAGCGTAGGCCGACTCGGCTGCTCTAGTAGTGCGAGGTTTGGTGAAACAGTGCGCGCGAAGTTGGCGAAGCCCCGTTAGCAGTAACGGGGGAACAACGGCTGCTGCTGTACGCGATGTTGATGGTCGCGGTAAGGAATGTCGAGAAAATTCCTTACAACAACACCCAAATACTGGTACAGATGAATATCGATATGAATATACCTCAAATCTAATGTATAATGCTTCAACATCCACATTTCAGTCCTATCTTAAGGAAATCGTTCCTGTTCATACACGTTAACACCAAAACCAACAGCGCATGTCATGCCTCGGCTCGGTCTGCTCCATATTTCTCCTTTGATCCTCTCCAAGCACTCTAACTGATACACACAATCTATGATCACCATCACTATCACAACCAGTAGCATTATCAGCAGCAGCAACATCAAACAAGATTCCAAGAATGGAAGGCGGAAACAGGGAGGAGGACGCAAGTCCGGTTTCAGATATGCGATCACATATTGGTTGGTGGTGTAAGTACTATAGAATGTTACGATTGTAGTTGTCAGACTCGTAGATGTGGGTGTGTGTGTGGCTCCTGATGAAATGGTCTGGGTTTGTTCTATGAAGATGCCTACCGTGCTGCCCAATCATGGCTAGAAACAACAAGGTGATGGGAGGAACTACATTAAGTGAGACGGACCTTCCGTGAATCACACAACCCTTTGAAGAGAGGTGGGCTACAACATGAGGGTGGTGCTGTGATGCATACAGAAAAAGCCACTAGATCAGTCATTGGCGACAATGCAAGTTTTGGATGCTCTGTAAAGCATGACTTTCTTTATTGAGTTGTTCCCTCAACTCCATGGTAAAAATGCCTCTATAAGCTGTCTGTTGTGTTGTGCACTCCCCCGTCTGATCCTGCTGGTGCCGTTGTTGCTGCTGCTGCGTGTGCTGCCATTCTCGATGTTGTGTCTGCTGCTGCCGTTGATGCTGCCATTGCTGCTGCCATTGTCGCTGTCGTTGCTGCTGCTGATGCTGCGTCTGAACAGATTGAGAGCCGTTCGACACACCACAGGCAGTGCTTTGGGATCCACAGGAATGCACCTCAGATGCGACCACCGCTTGTGCCGACGCTATGCCATCCATTGCGTTGCTTTCACATGCGGGCTGGAGGCTTTTGTGGTATGTGAATGCCGGCCCACCAACATCATCACGAGCACCACTCGCAGCATCACCACCAGCGTCACAACCAGCAACAGGACCAGTGTCACCAGCATCTAAACCAGCTGGCGGCAGGTTCAGGTCCGGAACAACAAACCCATCACCTCAACTCATGTTTGGCAACTCTGACGCTGGTGGGACCAAATTCTCTCCAGCTGACGCCGCTTCCACCGCTGTGCTCCGGCCCACCACAGCTCTGCATTCACCACCTTGGTCGTCTGACTGAGGAGTCTCAAGCACCTTTGTGACGAGCAGAGGCAGAGGCGAGGGCAACTGGGGCAGCCCTTGCGAGTGCAGCAGCCGTAGGGGCAGGGGCATTCCCTTCGAAATCTTGGCGTGGAAGTACGCCGCCCAGCTAGGCCGAGGCGAGATACTGCTGCTTGCACTGGCGGTGCCATGGCTCCTGTGGTGGTGAAGCTCTGGCAGGGCTGCCCGTCCCTCTGAGCAGCTAACAGCCGGCTGACGAGTCAAAAGGCGGTTGCTGCTTTTCAGGCTTCCCTCTGCGCCCGTCCCTTCTCGCTCTGCGTACCAGCTACCACTCTGCTGAGCAGGGGTTTCGGCAGGACTCACAGCAGTGCGCCTTGACTTGCCATCTGAACGTTTTATCACCGTAAGATCATTCATTCCAGCGCCATCACCAACAGCCGCACTTGGATCCCTCTTCCGCTTCCGCTCCAGTACCTCGGCGGTAGCTGCCCGCAGCTTTACTCTGTGTGATCTCGGCGTCCAATCAGAGTAAGCGGGTTCTTTCCCAAGCTCCCACGTGTGCTCTAAGACAAGCCTCTTCGCCCAGAGACTGCGCGGGGCCATGCCTGCCACCGTGGCGGCCACCAGCCTGCTTTCGCCGCCGTCCTTGCCGCCCGCTCCATCATCACAGTCATCATGACGACACACAGGACCGTGGTGACTCTTCCTGGTGCTGCTCCTGCCACTGGCATTGGTAATGACACTATGAGGCTCGAGCGACGACATTTAGTTCTCCACTTTTACGAAAGCCTTTGCTGCTGAGGTAAGCCAAGGGATTCGGCTGGGATGGTCAGGCGCTGGGGCTCTCAGAATATCTGCTTCACCTGCACTGACGTAAGCTTCTGCCAGTGGTTGTCTGTGTTCAGAATGCCTCTTGCACAGAAGAACTTTCAGAAGATTTGGAAGCCCTAAACTTTTTCCACTAGTAGTGGTTTGTGGATTAAAAGCATTTCGGGAAAACTCGGTAGACTGTACCACCGCCAGTGTTGCTACTACAAATAAGGCAAAGCCTCCTGAGGGACTGACCCATGTCCGGATCTTGCTTGCTTTTCCAAATGCGTTCGATCTCGCAGCATCCGATGCTTGCAAGGAGGGAGCTGCTTTGCAGTGCAAGCCTTCTGCGTCAGCTGACGCTGGCAGGCACCCATCCTTCAGGAGCCACACTCACCCTCCCCCCCCTTGGCTTAGAAGTGCTGAGAGGGAGGGCGAGAGTCCTAGGAGGCAAGGTAGGTGCGAGGACCTTGACCGGGGACCAGGTGCATTCAGGGTAAATAGTTATAGGTTTCTGTGAGCCGCCAGAACTGGACCAGAAAAACTGGCTGACGCGGCCACACTGTTCAGTGCAAATCTGTTTGTCAGTCCGTGCCGGATTTGGACGGCGGGACCTGGGATACAAACAGAAGCGCCATCGCATGCGTCGTCCTGCTCTGTGCCGTGTAGCGCCTTCTTGCTGGCTTGACATACCAAGTGGCTTTTGTTGGTAGATTAGCGACCAAAATAGCTGCTTTCTTGCTACCTGGCCTGATGTCAGTTCATGTAATACATATCACTCTCTGTCTGGGTCAAACCACTCTTGCATATCACTCGTACTATACATCAACTCCTGTTGTCGTACCTGATATTTTTTTCCTAGCCAGGAACTTTTATGTATATGGATCAGCTACAGAATGAAGAATCATGTTTATCTCAGGCTCGATCTAAGGCTCAATCTACACGTACAGGCGGTATGCTCTTATCGCTGATGAAATTCAAGGCCGTCTTGCTTTTGTTGAGGGGACGACCAGAAAAAAGCCACAGGCCATATCCTACGCCTGTTTCGCCAAGGGCAGGCCACATGCCCATGTATTGACACTGTGGGCCTAGGAGGAATACTTGTCAATACAGTACGTGCAATTTGAATTTCCGCGTTGTCAGCAGCCGAACGCGGGCGTGGCACAATACAGCGTCAGCCATGGCGCTGCTGCATCTAGGCTGCATGGGGTGTGTAGCTGTCTACGAGGCATCATCAATCTAGGGTAAGTAGCTTTCGCGGGGGTACTACTTGGGACCCCGCGCTTTCTAGGGAGCTACAGTGCCAGCAGGGGGCACTTTCCGCCCCTCCGTGCCTCAGACAGGGGAATTATAGAAACAACACAGAACTCTTCCCCACATTCACCCACGTGTCACAAATTTGGAAAGTTCAAAAACGCACGGCAAAAAA